ACAAATAATAAAGTTTCTGTTTTTCTTTTCCAAGATCCAAGGCCGATCTTAGGCTGGGCTAGTGGGCAATTGGCAGAGGCCTGTGCCTTTACGGAATACCCTATTGGGAATTAAAAGGAATAGTAGTGACTTTGGGGCATGGGACGGCTGCTATTAATATTAGGGTTGAGCATGCTGATAACTAGGAAATGCAGGTGGCTATGAGCTCATGACATTAGGGATGTTTAGTGACAAACCTACCAAGATAGGTCTGAAATCGGAGGGGGGTGGGCAGATAATGCAGTTAGTAACACAAAAAAGGTATCTACCGAAAATAGGCAGGTTACGTGATCAGGGAGACCATACACTAACCATTGCTGCAGCTCTCACGGATGGAGTGAATTTCAGGACATTTCAATAGAAGTGTGGTAAATAATGGGCTCGCACTTTACTTCAGGCCTTTTCCTGAGCTGATCTGTCAGGTAATCTGGAGGACTGTGCGAAGCTCCTATATCACAAGGAGTTTGTGTGACTCTAAAAATATTAGTGTCATTTGGCAGGATACAGACCTAGTGCAGAACAACTCATAGCACGGTTAGGTGGAATCTTACTTGATATCGACTAACCATGAATGAAAACTAATATACTGTCCATGTGGCATATCAGGCTGCCTTGATTTTAGTGCTTAGTGTGTGTTTACACTTAATATCACACCCATACATATGTCTTTTTATTTTTAATGTACATCTAAGAGTGAAAATAAGGAACATCCCCAGGACACACATGGAAAGCCAGCGAATATCTGAATGTACCTTTCCTGGTGTAACACTTTCTTGTTATTATTTCTGTAGCTTGGTTCAGCATATTCAAGTAGATGTCTTCTACTCTGGGTCTTATCTTCTTGGTTATCAGTCTGTATTCCAATTTTTAAAAAAAGGAGAAAGCATAACAGCCCGATAGCAACCTGTACAACAGACTCTTGCAAGAACTATAATTAAAGCAAAAATATAGGAAGACCATCCAAAAAATAGTGTTGGGCTGCCCATTGCTGCCTTCTCCCCAGATGAGCAACGTGTATGGTTTCATATAATTCCATGTAGCTCTTTATAATGCCACCTACACATTTTGTATATTAATTAAATAACTTCCATACAAATTCAAACGTATAGAAAGGGTTTTTATTTATCCATTTGTAAGATAAATGCTCTCTGTATGCCGAGCACAATCAGACGGCTAAAATTCAAGCCAGCACTTGGCAGATCTAATATTCACATGTCTAGGAATATCCTGAGATTCTGGGTTTGACACCTGATTTTTCAGACTCCAGTTTTTCACCTAATTGCCAAGCTTCCGTGTTTGTGTACTTAATCAGTGTTTTCTCAAACTATTTCCATCCAACCCAGTAGGAGATTCTTCTGTCCACCTACAAAGTAGAATCAGCCGATTCTTGCATCTGAACTTGAAATTGTAAAGGTTGAGAAGCCCCTGTTACTATAAATGGTTTGGGAATGGAGGTAATGTCAACCCACTCTCGATGCAGAGCAAAACCGTTTTGACACTTGCAGGGGTTGTGCAAGCTCACATACGAAATTCCATATGCTAGTTGCTCAAGCATGTGTGCTGAACAGTCTGAGTGGGCATGAAATAGGGAATGGTACTGTGTCTTTGTGCTACAAATATTTAGATGGCTCCATGAGGAAGCAAAGCAGGAGAGTAGAATTTTGCATTATACAAAACATTTTGTATTGTATAAAAAATTTGATAGTTTTAAATGGCAAGACTGGTACATGGTCTTTGCACTGTAACTGCTATTATACAGGAGGTATAAACTTGGGATTGGGGGCTCGACTTGAAACCTTGATGGCAGGTCTGCCTAAAAAGAGTCATGACACTCTGGTGTGTATTCATGGAATTGAGATGCTCCTGCCAGGCCCACTCTGCCTACGGAACACTGATGCACTCTCCCTGTGAGCTGACACCCTAAGAGCCCTCCTGAGCTTGTCAAATGATGCACTCCCTGCACTTTCTGGGGACAATCTATTGGTGTCAACAGGTGTTAGTCATCGGGGGGGGGGGGGAACTGTGAGGCAGGACCTATATCACTTGATATAGTGATTCTGTTGCTTGAAGTGTTAATTTTGTTCTGTTTTATTTATTTTTTCTTCATTTTTATACATCCCACTTAGTGCCCCCCAATCCCCTCCCCCCCACCGCCGGTGCTGTGTACAATGATGGCACATTCTAGCACATCGTGTGGCAATGACTTTTCAAATGCATGCTCCTAATGGTAATTTACACCTTCCTTCACTGTACTCTTGATCCCAGTAAGAGATTAAACCATGATTTCTGGGGGGATGGAATGAAAAACTGTTCCATTCTGTTAAATAATTATTCTATGGAATAGCCCCCTGAGACATAGCAAGCATAGTGCAGATAAGAGATAAGTGGAGATGCCCAAATGAACATTTTGTGTGAAATGTCTTAAGACTTAAATGGAGAGCATGCAGACTAACTGGGTGAATTCAGCGTAAATGTCAAATTTTGAGGCCAAAATTTGACCTTACGTTTGAAGTTCACTTATAATTTGCCACAATTCTCACTATACTAAATAACGCTGTAAGTGGAGAAATAAGCTAAAATAAATACTGATTATTTGTTTTTATTCTTGTTTTACAGGGGGAGGTGGTAAGCGGAATGGCCGCAGTAAGAAGTGGAAGGATATGCTGAAACTGCCGCACATTAGTCAGTGTGAGGAGCTCCGGCGTACAGTCGGTGAGTACAGTAAACTGGAAGGACGCGGAACCTGGAGATACGGTTGAACACCATTCTGGTGGTAAAACGGAGCAGTGGCACATATTTAAATCATCCATTTAAACAAAAACAAAATTCTGGTAAGCTGGGCAGTCTGGATTTCCTGCCCATAATGAGATTAGCAAAGCCACCGATGGGTGCCAAGTTTGAAAACCGCCTGTTCAGATTTTGGCCCTATAATTTCCCAGATGGCTCCTAGATCCACGCCTGTTCAGGTATTTCCAGAATACGGCAAGTTTGAACAATTGCAAGTGATGGTTTAAGCAAAGCAATCTGCAAAAATCTGTTTAAAAACTGTTAAGGTCATGTTATGATTTTTAGTTCTGTAACTTCCTGAAAACTTGCAAAATCTATAAAAGTGGGATATTTCTGTAATCAGGAGACTTCGCTGAATTGATTTTTTCTTTTTTCTTTTTACTGTTGGACATATCCTGTTCAAGAAATCCTAAACTTTTGTCCTTGTAATGACTTAATTCCTTGAGTCAGAGTGTTAGATCATACTCTCAGCCCATGAATCCATCAAAAGACAGACAAAAGTAACCATCACATAATGCAAAATTACATTATGGTTAGAGTGGCTCTTTAAGGAGTTAAGCACGTTTATTCTTGTATTCTCCTAAAAGTGCGATAACCATTTAATTTATTTATTTAGAAAAAATTAAAGGAAGGCTCTTAACCTATCTTGTCTCACATGATTACTGGCCTGCAGAAATGTATTAGAAAGCTACCTGCAATGAATGGGCCGATAGCCGATATAATTTGCCGATATTCTGTACATTTACCATTTTGGAAAATAAAAACTATTTCTAAAGGTAAATGCACAAAATATACATGCCACATGTAGTGGATGCAGTGTGTTTAGACAGGGGAGCTGTTTGTGTAGTGTGTGTAGTGGATGCAGTGTGTGTGTTTAGTGGATGCAGTGTGTGTTTGTCTAGTGTGTGTAGTGGGTGTATAATGAAAGCAGAGTGTTTGTGTAGTGTGTGTAAAGTGAATGCTGTATATACTAAATGCAAAGTGTGTGTGTTTGTGTAGAAAGCAGAGTGTTTGTGTAGTGTGTGTAAAGTGAATGATGTATATACTAAATGCAGAGTGTGTGTGTTTGTGTAGTGTGTGTATAGTGAATGTAGTGTTTATCTAATGCAGAGTGTGTGTGTTTATATAGTGTGTTTATATAATGCAGAGTGTGTTTATATAGTGTGTTTATATAATGCAGAGTGTGTGTGTGTTTATATAGTGTGTTTATATAATGCAGAGTGTGTGTGTGTTTATATAGTGTGTTTTATATAATGCAGAGTGTGTGTGTTTGTATAGTGTGTTTATATAATGCAGAGTGTGTGTGTTTGTATAGTGTGTGTATATAATGCAGTGTGTTTGTGTTTGTATAGTGTGTTTATATAATGCAGAGTGTGTGTGTTTGTATAGTGTGTTTATATAATGCAGTGTGTTTGTGTTTGTATAGTGTGTTTATATAATGCAGAGTGTGTTTGTATAGTGTGTGTGTATATAATGCAGAGTGTGTGTGTTTGTATAGTGTGTGTATATAATGCAGTGTGTTTGTGTTTGTATAGTGTGTTTATATAATGCAGAGTGTGTGTTTGTATAGTGTGTGTATATAATGCAGAGTGTGTGTGTTTGTATAGTGTGTGTATATAATGCAGTGTGTTTGTGTTTGTATAGTGTGTTTATATAATGCAGAGTGTGTGTGTTTGTATAGTGTGTGTATATAATGCAGAGTGTGTGTGTTTGTATAGTGTGTTTATATAATGCAGAGTGTGTGTTTGTATAGTGTGTTTATATAATGCAGAGTGTGTGTTTGTATAGTGTGTTTATATAATGCAGAGTGTGTGTGTTTGTATAGTGTGTTTATATAATGCAGAGTGTGTGTGTTTGTATAGTGTGTGTGTATATAATGTAGTGTACATTATATAAACACACTACACAAACACACTGCATTATATAAACACACTACACACACACTCCATTATATAAACACATTATGCAAACACACTGCATTATATACACACACTATGCAAACACACTGCATTTTATAAACACACTACGCAAACACACAGCATTATATACAGTGTGTTTGTGTAGTGTGTGTATATAATGCAGTGTGTTTGTGTATATAACGCGGTGTGTTTGTTTAGTGTGTATATAATGCAGTGTGTTTGTGTAGTGTGTATATAATGCAGTGTGTTTGTGTAGTGTGTGTATATAATGCAGTGTGTTTGTGTAGTGTGCATTATATAAACACACTATACAAACACACTGCATTATATACACAGTGTGTTTGTGTAGTATGTGTATATAATGGAGTGTGTGTGTGTGTGAGGGGGCATTTTTTATTAAATTATTATTTTATTTTTATATTTAATTATTATTTATTTTTGTTGTCCCCCCTCCCTGCTTGTTGCCTGGCCAGGGAGGGGGGATATAGCAGTCCCTGGTGGTCCAGTGGCATTGGCTGAGCGGTGGGGGGGGGCGGCAGTAAGCGTTTACTTAACTCCCAGCAGCTCCCCAGTGTAAGTCTCGCGGCCAGTGTGCCGCGCGGAGCGATGCCATGGTAACCCGTGGCAACGCTCTGACGGCCTCGGGTCTCGCGAGACTTACACAGGGGAGCTGGAGGAGCTGCTGAGAGGTAAACGCTTGCTGCCACCCCTCCCCTCCCCCCCAGGACCGCCGGGCTTGTAATGAGCCTGGCGGTCCTAGGAGGTATTATCGGCAATATCGGTATCTGAATTGGCCAATACCGATATTGCCGAAAATACAGAATATCAGCCGTTTATATAGGTAAAACCGATAATCGGTCGATCCCTACTCCTAATGCTGTAACATGGGCCTTTCTATTTATTTAAAACATGCTATACATTTGGTTGACCATTTGCGTATTTCGCAAAGACCTCCAATAGTGGTTGGTGTGTAGTGACCAGCGGGTGCAGTGGAAGGTAGGTTTTACTTACCTAAAGCAGTTCCTTGCAGCTTCCGCCATCTGCATCCGAGGAATCTTCTTGAGCTCCTGGCACTTTGTCTGCATCAGTGTTGTACTCTCGCTAGGATTGCCACCTTTCTTGGGAAAAAAATACAGCCCATACTAATTTGCAAAATTAATTATGCATGCGTGGCATCACACATGTAAACCACAAGGAGTGACATAAGATAAAATTCTGTAAAATCACCAAAAAACTACTTGGTTTGATTCTGCTGTATAGAAGGATTGCTCCCACTGTCTCCTGTGTCGCAGTGTCCCCACACACACAGACTGCGGAATCCATACACACACGCAGACTGCGGAATCCATACACACACGCAGACTGCTGAATCCGCACGCACGCAGACTGCTGAATCCGCACACACGCAGACTGCTGAATCCGCACACACGCAGACTGCTGAATCCGCACACACGCAGACTGCTGAATCCGCACACACGCAGACTGCTGAGTGCGCACACAGGCAGACTGCTGAGTGCGCACACAGGCAGACTGCTGAGTGCGCACACAGGCAGACTGCTGAGTGCGCACACAGGCAGACTGCTGAGTGCGCACACTCACTGCTAAATACACAAACACACACAGCGAGCAGCCCCCACCCCCCCATCGTTCCTCATCAACATCAAGGATCCAGTCCACTGAAAGTCCAACACAGCCAATGTAAGTTTTTCATTAACATTTTATTTTTTATTGGGGGAGTAACCAAGTCACTTTCCGTGGAGAGTTTACCAGTGCAATATAATGGTTTTGCCTTTTCGTTTTGTTTTGTCTTCCCATTGTGTTATACATCGTTAATCATAATTTGCTGCAGAAGATTCCTCGGATGCATATGGTGGAAGCTGCAAGGAACTGCTTCAGGTAAGTAAAACCTACCTTCCACTGCACCCGCTGGTCACTACACACCAACCACTATCGGAGGTCTTTGTGAAATACGCAAATGGTCAACCAAATGTATAGTGTGTTTTAAATAGATAGAAAGGCCCAAGTTACAGCATAAGGAGTAGGGATCGACCAATTATCGGTTTTACCTATATAATCGGCCGATATTCTGTATTTTCGGCAATATCGGTATCGGCCAATTCAGATACCGATATTGCCGATAATACCTCCTAGGACCGCCAGGCTCATTACATAATTTGTTAATGAATCCCTTTGCGTTTATTATACTGAGGATCTGTTTTGGTAATTCTGAAGTACTCTGTTTGCCTCCACAAACGTTCCTGTAGCTTGAATCTGAATTCTTTTTTCGAGAGCTTATAGTAGGTGTGCTGTAAATATCATTCAAGCTGTTTTGTAAGAAAGCTTTGATCTCTGGAAATTTGGAATTGCTGATGTGATATTCCCTCATTTTGGGATGAACCTCCCCATGAAAACCTTCACAGAATGGGTTTATTTCTGCTCATTGTGCAGTTAAGTAACCTCTTACTGGCTGACATTTGTTTTCATTGCAACTTTATATCACTAGAACATTCAAATTATTTATCTATTCACTCATCCTTGCTTAATAGTATAAAAATACTGCTTGCTGTCAGTGTAAAGTATGAGACCTCTATTTTTATAGATCATGTGTTCTCCACTGCCTGCCAACAGATCCAACCAGTGGTGTACACCCCAAACAGTGTTGGCCATACAAAGCTGTTAGCAAGGCAGTTGGCGATTGGATAAGAATCTACACTCTGTTAAAGTCACGTGTTTTTATTTAAAACCAGCAAGAGAACCTAGATAATGCCTTCCCAGGGGTAGGCAACCTTCAGCACTCCAGATGTGGCGCCATCATCTCCCGAAATGCGTTTACATCCATAATGCTCGCAAAGCATCAGGGGAGATGTAGTTCACAACATCTGGAGTTGGTTGCCGAAGATTGCCTGCTCCTGCCCTAGACTGTGTCAAATCCATAAAACCAGCAATACTCGCTGCAGGTTGCGTTGTGTAGCTGTCTGTGATAGTGCAATTCTGCTTCTCTCATCATCAATCATAACACAACTGGCACAACGTAAAACTGCATCTTAAAGGAACACTATAGTCACCTAAATTACTTTAGCTAAATAAAGCAGTTTTAGTGTATAGATCATTCCCCTGCAATTTCACTGCTCAATTCACTGTCATTTAGGAGTTAAATCACTTTGTTTCTGTTTATGCAGCCCTAGCCACACCTCCCCTGGCTATGATTGACAGAGCCTGCATGAAAAAAAACTGGTTTCACTTTCAAACAGATGTAATTTACCTTAAATAATTGTATCTCAATCTCTAAATTGAACTTTAATCACATACAGGAGGCTCTTGCAGGGTCTAGCAAGCTATTAACATAGCAGGGGATAAGAAAATCTTAATTAAACAGAACTTGCAATAAAGAAAGCCTAAACAGGGCTCTCTTTACAGGAAGTGTTTATGGAAGGCTGTGCAAGTCACATGCAGGGAGGTGTGACTAGGGTTCATAAAGGGATTTAACTCCTAAATGGCAGAGGATTGAGCAGTGAGGCTGCAGGGGCATGTTCTATACACCAAAACTGCTTCATTAAGCTAAAGTTGTTCAGGTGACTATAGTGTCCCTTTAACCAGCACATGCCATTTTATCCTCATTGTGGGTTAGTCATGGTTTACAACTTGTTTTCTTTAAAAGAAACAAAAGTTGCAAAGGTTTATGAGAGCTTCACATATTCTTTTTATTGGAAGCATTTTATTGTGGAATGATCATGTTTGTTTATATTAGTAAATTTTTTGCACACTATGTGGAAAGTGTTAATATGGATTCACTGATGCTGATTTGAGATACGATATCGTGTTTGTTTTTATCATCATATTTTTGTGTACTATAACTAAATATATATACTACTATATATTCTTTATTTAAGTAATCACGATAACTCCTGTTTATTCCACCCGTTAAGTTCACATGCTTATTTGACCACTGGTGTGTGGATATTGGCAATAGGGACACCCCAAAAAACAAAATTTGGGTTCGATTTTAAAAGCACATCTGAAAACGTGACAATGTAACATCAATTGCATTTAGTGCAGTAAAATAATATATTGCTAATTTTGGCAGCAAATTACACTTTTACTTCCATCATGACATGTAAGGAATGTATTGACCGAAAAGGGAATTGTGGACAATTGACAAGGGAATTACGAATATTAGGCTAAAATCGGTAGATTGAAAAAGTATTATTATTTTTTAGCTTGGTTGGTTTGGTCTTAAATTTTCAATTAATACCTAGGTTCTCCACACAATTTCCAGTATATTTATCGAACCCTAAAAATAAATGAGTAACCGGTCATTTTGATTTTAAGTTTTTTAAACAAAGCTCTGGGAATAAAGTAAAATTATGTTGTAGAATCCTGTACTGAATAAATTACTGGAAAATCCTAAACACTCAATTTTATAATCCATATATAACAAGGGTTCAATGACTGTCAGGATTGTATGTATGCATGAGTGTGTTCATACATGTGTTAATATATAAAAATAAAATAACACAAATATTTATATTTGTGTTATTTTATTGTATGTTTGTAATGCACACACTTCCCTAAATTATTAATTCTTGCCACTTTTGCATAGAAAGAGTTAAGGTTTATATATTTAAACTTTTATAGTTTTTTTTTTTTTTTTCCTAGTTTGTAAATTAATACACACACATCTGTTTCTAAGCGCTGTCTCTTATCCTCCAATTACTCTGCTGCTTTACTAAGGGCTTGCGTCATTCATGTTTATAAGCTGACATATCTTTAAGAGCATATGTTTGGCTGCAGATGTTAACTTGTAAAAATATGCGTAGCGGTTACTCTAAGAGCTCTCTGTTGTGTGAACTTGCACACAAATTATGGTTTTAATTTACTCTGGGTACCCGCACTTTTTTCTTTTCTTTTTTTTCTTCTTCTTTGCGTAGACTCTCTAATTTTGTGGAATTATTTGACCTTGCACTTGGCATCTGTACGTCTACTCTGGAACAACGACAAAAGAACTGATTAAACATTTACAAGGAGCAGAAATATATACGTTGACAGTGGATACGGTTTTTAATGCTTCAACTTTTTTTATTTATTTTTTTTATTCTGTTTTTGTAGAACTTCAGATACTTTACATTTCTTTCATATGTTTCATGACATTCTGTCTGTCCCGAGTGCATTTTTTTCTCTTTACAACATATTCGCCATAAGTTACACAAAGAGATAATATCTCGTATTTCCCACGGGCCCGTCATATTCCACGCTGAGAACCGCTTGTGCTTGTTCATATTACTTTGAAATATGTTTTTAGTTCTGTTACTTCTTGAAGGCATTGACGCATTTTAGAATCC